AATAGATTTGGGTGTCATCAGCATACTGATAGCACCCAGCACCATAACAGTTACAGACACCCTACTACCCCACTTAAGCCTGGCATCTACTGAGAGCTCCCAGTGGGCCACCATACCACCCACACAGTGGCCATTGGCTGTGGCTACCCTATCCCACAGGTCTGCTGATTGTTGGCTATGGACTTTATCACACGGGGCAAATCCCATGTAGAAACAGGATTTAAAAGCTGGGGGAAACCCACAAAAGCAGGTTGATTTTCACACATGTTGTTGTTAAACTGTTGTTAACCTGAATGGAAAGTAGTCAAAAGCTGCTCCTTTTTTACTTTCCAAAAGTAAAACGTAAAAAGTAAAAAGAAGCGGCTTTTGACCACTTTCCGTTCAGGTTAACAACAGTTTAATAATGACATCATGTGAAAATCAATCTGCTTTTGCAGGCTTTTTTCTATTTAAAACCCTTTTTCTGCATGGCATTTCCCCTGTGTGATAAAGCCCTGTCTCAGCTTCATAAGGGGAGCTGTTGGAGGCAAAATGTCATAGTCTGTTTCCACCATGACCTACAATGTGGGAAGAGGGGAAGGTGGAACTGAAGGAAAGGGGGATGTGTGGCTCCAATCCCGTCTCTTGTTTTTCTGGGGAAAATCCACCCACCAAATGTCTCATGTCTCAAAAGAGGGCACAGGGCAAGGACTTGCCTGGTGCATCTCTTAGAAACTATTTACAACCATACAAGCCCTCATCCGTTTATCATTCTTCCTTGCTGAAAGTTTAAGAATATAGTATGAGCATAGCAGTGTCTACAATTAAGGCTAAATCCATGACATTCTAGCAAATCCATTGAATTAAAACCTGTTTTCTGTGTAAAAGAATGGAAGCAAAGCATAAATATGTGAATTTTGAGAACAATTCGGACTGGGTACATCAAATGATGGATATTTGTTCTCCTAAGCAGGTTATCACTAGTGCAAAAAGCATGACCAGACCTTCTGAATTATGTTTCTTGGTACTATATAAATGTCCCACTTAGTTTGTCACTGTAATCAATATATATGCATGATTGCTCTGGAAATATACAGATAAAATGGTTAGAAACTTAATTTAAACATGCCTCTTCTCTTAGCTTTTTGGACTCCTTGGATTTAAATCAATCTACCCTGATCATCACCATTGTCACATTTCTTTCTTTCC